AAAACCGCCTAATCTTTTAATAGTCTCTCTGCCTCTCACACGCCTCCCCATGCGTCGTCCCTGCGAGGGTACAGTCATTAAATCTCGGCTCCAATGGGACGACACATGGGGAGGCGTGTGAGAGGCGGAGAGACTATTAAAAGATTAGGCGGTTTTCCTTTCATGCGGGTCCGCCATATTTAGTTCGTGGCTTTGTAGAGCCATGGCTCAAATCGATGTGAATGCTTCTTGTAAGTTAAACAATCAATTTACAGGAGATAACAATATGCTACCCATATGCGTGTCAGTAATTCCTATATTACGGGGATACTTGTTTACATGTATCTAAACTGACAGACTGTTTAACTAAACAACTTTACAGATTACAGTAGAATATAAATGTACAGTACTGGTACACTAACAGATCCAGTTTTGATGGGGGGGGGGGATGCACAAGGTGATAATAGGAAGTTTTAGACTACATGTATGGGCAGCAGGGGAAAACTACACAGCTTTGTCTAGTTACGCGCGCAACGAGACAAAAACGTGTAGTTTGTCTTCCCGTATGTCCTAAAAGTACATATGATAGTCTGAAAGCGCTTGTTGTGCTGCTTTTTCAGAGAGGGCAAAACGGTATTTTCAAAATGGGGGAGGAGGCACGTGGTCAACTGTGCCCCCCCCCCCCCCCCCCCCAACCCGGATCCGCCACTTTAGCCGAGTATAAACTAGCATTTTACATGTATATATGGTACGGTGTTAGTAATTAAGTCCTATTGAGGTCACATTACTACTGTCAGTGCTATAAATGAAGTCAGTACATTTTACAGGCTACAGCTACTAGTACCAGGGAAAGGAATCGTGTTAGTGGGGAAACAACACAGAGACAGATCCACTACAGAAACAGTGGGACTTATTTGCTAGTAAGATACATTCATGGGGATACCGAAATAAGTTGGTGCTAAAATGGCGTACTAATTATTGTTATAACATTTTTACATAAATGTGTCCATCAAATCTTGTTAAGATTGGCATGACTTTCACGAACCTCAACAGTAGTGCTGACACCTATCGATAAAAGTTTCACTGGAGACATATAGGCCTACTACCATAGGTAACTTTGTTTCTTTGAAAACCGCATTCTTAATTCAAATGTGTAACTTGAAAACAATCATCGATTTGACACACTTCTAACATTTAATTGACTAATATAACAGCTCATGATGCCGTCGAATGATATACTAAACAGGCTGCAAATGGAAAACATCATGACGTCAATGGATATCACGGTATGCTGTAAGAGGGTACTGGAACTATGAGGAAATTTGCATATATTTGCATACATGGGCCTAAGTTATCTAGGTGGCAATCCCTCAATATCAACACTTCTGCAGAGATGACAGTTTATGTGGAACATTTTGGAGTTTTTTTATAACAAAAATTTTCGCTTTCTGATAATTTAAATCTTAGTTTTATTCTTTTATTCGCATATTCTTCGGAAAATGCATTGTTTAATCACGAAAAACGATTGCCTTTTCCACTTAAACGTCATCGCTGCTGTCACACTAAAAGCATGCATTCGGGAACCAGACTGCATTCTCTTTGGGTGTCGATAACAGTGAGAGATTACTAAAACTAACTGAAATCTCTGCATGTTACCGTCTTTGGAATTCTGGCTGCTGCCATTATCTGAGCTAAATGCTGGAGAAAATTATTTACAAATACAATAAATCATTAGAGCAATTCCAGTTCAGTTGATTGTGATTACAACAATGTAATGACATAAAATCCTTGAACACAATATCATGTATTTGTCAGACATTGAGCATACTACCGTCGGATATTTGCAAGATTTCAAGAGCTTTTTTGCACGTAGAGACATCGGTGTAACTTTGAAGGTTATGGTATTTTAATACGAAGTAACTTTGTGTGGTAAATCAAAATCCGAAAGGAGTGAAAGTTGATCCTATGCAAAACCAGGATGCCGTGCATAGAAACTGCTGAAATTGGCCATTATGAACCTTTCTTTATTAATCCACATTTAGAAATACTACTATGTCTCATTTTTTACATTGTTTGTTAACGCCTCTTTTCACCTTTCTTACAAAATTCAAATTGTTCTTGTAATAATAGCTCTTAATCTCACACCAATCACAATTATACCAAATGTACATAACAACAATGCTTTAGTGGTGTTGTTTTTGATATATATACCAATAATGTAATGTACTCAGACATGTAACAACATTTCTGGCCAAGATCTCTGGGTAGGTCCAATATACTTTTATAAGAAGCCATGTTAAGCATGATTTATCGAAACGTTTACTTTGCCAGACATGGTACAACACCGCCTTTCTGCAGTGACCATACTTACTATATTTTGTCTTGGACTTCATGGTGTCCCCCTTCGATCGGATATTTTTCTCTGGGTGGAGAAGGATCACGTGTAACTTGGGAAGGAATAAGCAGGCGATGGCCACAGTAGCACTCAGGCTTACTGATATACAGAGGGTGGTCATTTGAAACTGAAAAAGAAACAAATAACCATTAACACACAAACAGAAATAAAACTGATTAGAACGCAATGCTATACATGTACCAGAAGGACTAGGCAGCCAGTCTAACCAATAACTTAAATCAGAAATATTCCCCCGGTCACTCCTCTTCCAGAGCATAAAGAGCCAAATAAGACAAATGGTTTTTAATTCAAGCAATTTCTCCATCCCTGCATTTAAAAATGAAACCCTGCTTGATAACTGTCTTATATTTCGATATTTGCGCGTCAGTGGAGGATGGATTCCAAGTAACGCATAAAAAACACTTCTAGTGGTTTCTTATACCACTCAAATAAAGTTGACATGCCAAGCGATAAACCGAACTGACCACTCGGTCAACTATAAACGAACTTTAAACTACACCTTACAATTTTTGTCGTAAACTTACCTGACCTATATTTATCTGCCCCGTTTAAATTTTATGGCAGAAATATCTTCTTTTTTTTTTTGGGGGGGGGGGGGTAATACGTTTATTGGCAAGATATTTCTCTAAGTTATACTATTTGAAACTATATGGTGGAATTAGCTCGATTCTTGTGGTAAAAAAAAATTTACTTCAAATGCATCTTTAAGAAAAATCCTACCAATACATCCACCAGTGTGTGGGTACATGTAAAAGTACACTTCACTGCGAGTGTATAAGCGCCCCGTGAGTTATTATACAGTGTCTGGGCATGAACTGGTAAAATTGGCAGTGGGAAGGGCAAAAGCTGCGACCCGGAGTGTCAAACATTCCGCTCACAACCGCGTTCGTCGCAGGTTACCCAGTGGTAAGAATTCAAATGAAGATTAAATGATCAATCGAGTGCGTGTAATTGGCTTACACTTGTTAAGGACTGAAGACGGCAACCTAATGTGATAGGGGATAAATCATTATTACAGATTCTAAAAGCAAGACTATTTATATCGATATATAGGTTTTAGCATTATCTCGTATTCGGCCAAACACTACTTTCATGTTTATCGCTTCATTAGATTCAGATGGAGGATCTATGTAAATTGTTGCGATTAATGCAATTGTCACAGTTATTTGATAGAGGATATAAGATTTTGTGGACTATATTTCATTGGGGGGAAATAACACAAAAAAACATGATAACATTTTTTACAACACTTGGGGAAAGGAAAGCACTTTAACACAAAAACAGGAAATCACATCACATAACGGGTACAATGACCCCACAAATAAATGAATAAACTTGTCTCGTGAGAGGAAACGCTCCTATTCAGTTTAATTTCGGTGTGATATTTTTACATACAACCTGCTTTGGCTGATCGAATTACTTATTCCAAGTTTTCCGTCGATGATGAGATTAAATCAAACCTTTTCAAAAAATGATCAAGATTTTGAGTAATAACGTTACATCAAAAAGAGATATTTTGAATAGTTTGAAAAGCAACACAGCTTTCGTTCTTTTGTATTTCAATATGGCCGTCAATATAACCACCTAATGCGTAATTCAAATCATATTTGACCAACGTTAAACTAATATAATACATCGATGTAATTTCACTATCATTATAACATTCATTCAGTGGTGCTCTGTTGCAAAGGCACACATACGTAACATGTATTTTTACTTTACAACATATGCGTGTACTTACTTCAAAAGAGTTGAGCGTTCCGAAGTAGATAGGCACAAACGCCAGCCATATTATACAAGTGGTATACATGGTGAACCCTATGAACTTGGACTCGTTAAAGTTCTCGGGAATGTTCCTTGTCTTTACGGCGTACACTGTACACACAATGATGAGTAACATGATGTAGGAGAGAGAAATCAGAAATGAGTAGTCTTCAATTTTACACTTAAGAACCATCTCGTCTCTCTGCCCGTTGGGGAAATAGTATCGCGTCCCTGGGGGCTCCAGAGCTAGCCAAATGCACGTGGTCATCACTTGTATTCCTATTAGAATACCAGCGATCACAACCTGTGAGCGAGGACTTATGAAAGCTGGTCTTTTTGCAGATTTTGTAGCCCTGTTGAATATTCTGTATATCCTATTGGTTTTAGTGAGGAGAGACGCGTAGATGATTGCGAACCCAAAACCTACCCCAAAGCGCTGCAATGAGCAAATGGCAGTGCTGGGCTTGGCCAGCAGGACAAAAGTCATCAGGTAACAAATTAGGCAACCAGAGAGAAGCAGATAACAGAGTTCTCTCCCGGATGCTCTCACAACCGGGGTGTCATTATGCTTAATGAACACACCAATGACTCCAATGGTGATCAGTATGGCAACCACTGCCAGAGACATGGGGACAATGGCGTAGACGCTGTCCCACTGCATGTATTGTTCCGGTATACGGTAGCACGCGGTTTTGTTCGGGTACGGCCAGTAGCCTTCTCCGCAATCCTCGCACTCCACGTCGGAGGCCAGGTACTCCCAGGGATGGGCACACGTCGTGCATATCCAACAACACACGTTATCTTTCACTTTCTTTATCTCCCCCTCCTTACACGGTTGACTGCACTCTGATGACGGCACCACGTCAAATTCTCTCAGGGTTCCTGAGTTCCACACTATTTCGCCCACATTTAGGTTAATGCCGTTGTGCCAGTGGCCAACCACGTGGTATTCGTATTCGCCGGTCTCTGTGTTTTGGCGGTAGTTCAGGATGTTATATCGCCCAAGACCGTCTCCGTTCGCGTCAAACTGGACCAGGCTTCCCTGGCTGTCTGTAATGAAAAATTATTGTATTACTGACTTGCAGCTTGTATTACATAAAAAAAAACTTTTATATAAAAATAAAAAAGAACTATGAAGGGTCTTAGAGTTCAGACTTAAAGATCCACCTGGACACGAACTACTCGGATAAAGATGCAGAGTTTTTGATTAGACATACTGAGGCTTTTTGAAGTCAAGGGCGGATATCGGTTGATATAAAAAACAACGCCCTTCCTTGTAAATTTTGGGCAGTGAAAGTCTTGATCTCATACTCTAAAGAGGCATTCCCCTCCCTGGTCACCACATTTTACGGGCAACATTTTGTAAAATCGGGGAAGGGGTGAGGCTGAAAACAAAACCATATACAATGTTGTGTCTTAAATTGTATTGCCAAAACCATGCACATTTTTACATATGGCCGGTTTTAAATAGACCAAAGCTTATATATATCGTTTATTTCAAATTTTTAAAACCTGCAAAAATATTATTTCGTTGTCTGTCTAAAACTATCCATACACTGCGTTTTGGAAAGAAGACATCGAGTACAGTCAACTTTAAGGTTTTCAATAAACTGGATTTTTCAAAATTGGTCTCACAGCTTTGAACGTAACCATGTAAACGAGTATTCTGAAATAAGACAGTGCTGCTGGTATGGAAGGTATGGGACCAAGGTCTCTCACTGGATCAAAGGGAAGGAATCGTTCAATGAGCCATAACACTGTTCATGTATCTTTGGTCCTTGTAGACACAGGATTTTATTCGGGTCACTGCACAACACCCCAAGCTTTTAGTCGACAAGGGAACGGTGATTTTTTTTTTGTTCATTTCGCCTACCTCGCTTCTAAATTTAAGATGACTTGTACTGGTAACCTGCAAACGCGTGTCAGACCCCAAAACATCAAGTTTAACCCAGATGGAAGGCAGAAATGATATAACTTCAGTCGGTACGTGTAAATAGGCTAACTACTAACGGAATAATGTGTAAAACCAACCCTTCTGTTATAAAAT